GCAGCGTTTCGTGGCCCCACAGGGGGCTCCACCGAAGGTCCCAGTGGCGCAGCCCGCATGCGTCTCCCACACCCAATACAGTGTTTCGTGGCCCCACAGGGAGCTCCACCGAAGGTCCCAGTGGCGCAGCCCGCATGCGTCTGCCCCATCCAGTACAACGTTTCGTGGCCCCATAGGGAGTTCCACCAGCGGTTCCAGTGACGCTGCCCGCATGCGTCTCCCATGCCCAGCACAGCGTGTCGCGGCCCTGTAGGGGGTCCACCGAAGGTCCCAGTGTCGGTGCCCGCATGCGTCTCCCGCACCCAGCGCAGCGTTTCGTGGCCCCATAGGGAACTGAACCGAATGTCCCAGTGGCGCAGCCCGCATGCGTCTCCCACAGCCAGTGCAGGGTTTCGTGACCCCATAGGGAGCTCCACCGAAGGCCCCAGTGGCGCAGCCCGCATGCGTCTCCCACACCCAGTACAGCGTTTCGTGACCCCAGAAGGAACTCCACCGAAGGTCGCAGTGGCGCAGCTCGCATGCGTCTGCCCCGTCCACTACAACGTTTCCAGGCCCCATAGGGAGCTCTACCGAAGGTCCCAATGGTGCTGCCCGCATGCGTCTCCCCCACCCAGTTCAGCGTTTCGTGGCCCCACAAGGAGCTCCACCGAAGGTCCCAGTGGCGAAGCTCGCACGCGTCTCCCACACCCATTACATCGTTTCGTGGCCCCGTAGGGAGCTCCACATGTTCCACTGGCGCCGCCCCCCCCACCCAGTACAGCGTTTTGTGGGCCCATCGGGAGCTCCATCAAAGGTCCCAATGGCGCAGCCCGCGTGCGTCTCCCTGCAGTACAGCGTTTCGTGGCTTCATAGGGAGCTCCACCGGCGGCTCCAGGGGGCAGCCCGCATGCGCTTCACCCACGCAGTACAGCGCTTCGTGGCCCTATCAGGAGCTTCGCCAAAGGTCCCAGTTTCGCAGCCCACGCGCGTCTCCCCCACCCAGTACAGCGTCTCGTGGCTCCGTAAGGAGCTCCACCGACGGTCCCAGTGGCGCAGCCCGCATGCGTTTCCCATCCAGTATAGCGTCTCGTGGCCCCATGGGGGAACTCCACCGAATGTCCCAGTGTCGCAGCCCGCATGCGCCTCCCCCGCCCGTTACAGCGTTTCGTGACCTTATAGGGGGGCCCGTCACAACTGCATATGTTTGGGTCCTTCTCCAGGCTGATTGCATATCGTTTTAAATCGTTTCAAATCGTCTGGGCGAAATAGGCGCATCATTCGCGACCGCACTGGCGATGCGTGCATCCGCTGAGGCAGGAGGGGCTGCGAGGAAGCCCTTCTCTCCCTTGCTGCATATACCTCGCCCATCTCTCCCTCCTTCCTGCTCCTTCTTTCTCTTGGGTGCTCACATGCAGCTTGCTTGAGTGTTCATGTGCGTATGCGCAGCCACTCGGCACGTTTAGGATCCCACAGGTTGGACAGAAGCTTCTATGATTCGGCTGCAGGTGTTACTGGTGCACTCCGACATTGTGCACAATGTAACCGCCGCGCTGCGAGTCGGACTGTTGCGCGCAGCGAAGGTCAACAAAAGAGTTGGCGCGTCGGAGGCCGACCGCGGCGAAGTGCATATCATATCCCTCGCCGACATTTCTCATGCGGGAGACGGGGATATGAGGTGGTACGAGTGTTCGCTCTTTGTTTTCGACGTCTGTATGTGTCGCCGCGCCGTTCGGTCTGACGAGCGGCCTTCCGTCTTGGGGAGGGCGCCGCGGCCACCAGGGCAAACGCCGCCTCGGGCGGGGTGGGTTTGCCATGGGGTCTGCCACGTGGCGGCGTCGTCTGCTTGGGGCGTGGGGCGCAGGGCCTGCCTTGGGTTTGCCGTGCTGCTGGCTGGCGTCGTCCGCTGATGCGCGTCGAGAACAGACGGCGCGGCGACATGTTCAAGCAGTGGCTAAGCGTCCTGGCTCGCCTACACGCCCACCAAAGACTGTTCTTAAAACCTTGTGTGGTCTACACGAAATGTTCTTCCAGCATTGCTGGCTGAGACTACATCGGGTTCATGTTCTAAGAACATTGTTGTTATTCGAGCTTCTTTGGGCACCAAGAACATGTCGTGGTAATCTTATAGGAAGTTCACAACCATCCTGTGGTGTTGGGCCTCGTTTTGACAAGAGAGCGCCCCGCGTTCCTCTCCTCTTCTCCTCCTCCTCCTCCTCCTCCTCCTCCCGCTCCTCTGGTCACCCCCGTCACGTTGGCACACCCTTCACACGTTTCGTAGCCCCGTAGGGAGCTCCACCGAAGGTCCCAGTGGCGCAGTTCGCATGCGTCCCCCCCGACCAGTACACCGTTTCGTGGCCTCAGAGGGAGCCCCACCGAAGGTCCCAGTTGCGCAGTTCGCATGCGTCTCCTCCGCCCAGTACAGCGTTTCGTGGCCCCAGAGGGAGCGCCACCGAAGGTCCCAGTGGCGCAGTTCGCATGCGTTTTTCCCAGTCAGTACAACCTTTCGTGGCCCCAGAGGGAGCTCGACCGAAGGTCCCAGTGGCGCAGTTCGCATGGGTCTGCCCCGCCCAGTACAATGTTTCGTGGCCCCCTAGAAAGCTCCACTCGAAGGTCCCAGTGGCGTAGTTCGCATGCGTCTCCCCCGCCCAGTACAGCGTTTCGTGGTCCCATAGGGATCTCCACCGAAGGTCCCAGTGGCGCAGTTCACATGCGTCTCTCCCGCCGAGTACAGCGTTTCGTGGCCCCAGAGGGAGCTCCACCGAAGGTCCCGGTGGCGCAGTTCGCATGCGTCCCCCCCCGCCCAGTACAGCGTGTCGTGGCCCCATGGGGAGCTCCATCGAAGGTCCCAGTGGCACAGTTCGCATGCGTCTCCCCAACCCAGCACAGCGTTTCGTGGCCCCCGACGGAGCTCCACCGAAGGTCCCAGTGGCGCAGGTTGCTTGCGTCTCCCCCAGACCCAGTACAACGTTTCGTGGGCCCAGAGGGAGCTTTACGGAAGGTCCCAGTGTCACAGTTCGCATGCGTCTCCCCCACACCCAGTACATCGTTTTGTGGCCCCCTAAAGAGGTCCACCGAAGGTCCCGGTGGCGCAGTTCGCATGCGTCTCCCGCGCCCACTACAGCGGTTCGTGACCCCATAGGGAGCTCCACCGAAGGTCCCAGTGGCGCAGTTCGCATGCGTCCCCCCCGCCCAGTACAGCGTTTCGTGGCCCCATGGGGAGCTCCACGAAGGCCTCAGCGGTGAACTTCGCATGCTTTTTCCCCACCCAGTACAGCGTCTCGTGGCCCCATAGCGAGCTCCACCGAAGGTCCCAGTGGCGCACTTCGCATGCGTCCCCCCCGACCAGTACACCGTTTCGTGGCCCCATGGGGAGCTCCACCGAAGGCCTCAGCGGCAAACTTCGCATGCGTCTCCCCCACCCAGTACAGCGTTTCGTGGCCCATAGGGGGGTCCATGGAAGACGATACTCACATTTGCGGTACTCACTATTGCATATGGTTGGGCTCTAAGAGCATTTCGTGGTAGGCCGATCGGTCGGTCGGTCCCTGCTCAAGAGTCATCTCGCGAACATCCACGAGCCACTCTGGAGTGCTGTGGCAACCGTCCGCCACCACGCCACCTGTCCACGGGCATCGCCTGTCTCACGGAGGAACGCGCGAAGGAAGAGAGAGCCACGATCAATGGGGCCCCGAACGCCCGCTTGTGCAAAAGGAGAGGAGGATAGGAGGAGGGGGGAGGAGAGGAGGAGGAGGAGGATGAGGAGGAGGAGGAGGAGGAGGAGGAGGAGAAGAGGAGGAGGAGGAGGGGAGGACGAGGAGGAGGAGGAGGAGGAGGAGCAGGGGCCGCTGCGCGAAAGAGGGAAAAGCGAAGGATGAGGAGGAGATGATGATGAGGAGGAGATGATGATGCTGCTGCTGCTGATGATGATGATGATGATGATGATCTTGACGATGATGCTGATGATGATGATGATGCTGCTGATGATGCTGATTATGATGATGCTGATGATTATGCTAATGATGATGCTGCTGCTGATGATGCTGATGCTGATGATCATGATGAGGATGATGATGAGGATGATGTTGCTGATGATGACGAGGAGAAGGAGGAGGAGGAGGAGAAGGATGCGGAGGAGGCGGAATAGGAGGAGGAGGACGAGGAGGAGGATGAGGAGGAGGAGGAGACGATGATGATGATGATGATGATGCTGATGATGATGATGATGATGCTGATTATGATGACGATGATGATGACGATGATGATGATGATGATGATGATGACGATGACGATGATGATGCTGCTGATGATGCTGATTATGATGATGCTGATGATGCTGATGATGATGCTGCTGATGATGCTGCTGCTGCTGATGATGATGATGATGCTGATGCTGATGTTGATGCTGATGCTGATGATGATGATGATGATGATGATGATGATGATGCTGCTGATACTGATGCTGATGCTGATGATGATGATGATGATGATGATGAATGATGGATGCCCTGAGATGATGATGATGCGATGATGATGATGATGATGATGATGCTGGTTGATGATTGATGATGATGATGATGATGAGGTGATGATGTGATTGATGATGATATGATGATGATGATGGGGGAAATGGAAAAAAAAAAAAATTTTTGATGATGATGATGCTGCCTGGATGATGATGATGATGCTGAATGATGATGATGATGATGATGATGAGATGATGATGATGGTATGATGATGATGATGATGATGATGATCAGGAGGAGGATGATGTTGCTGATGATGACGAGGAGGAGGGGAGGAGGAGGAGGAAGAGAAGGAGGATAGGAGGGAGGAGGAGAGGAGGAGAGGAGAGGAGCAGGAAGAGGAGGAGGAGGAGGAGGAGGAGGAGGAAGGAGGAGGAGGAGGGAGAGGAGGAGGAGGAGGAGGAGGAGGAGGATGAGGAGAGGAGGAGGAGGAGGGGAGGAGGAGGAAAAAGCGAAGGAGGGCCGGGACTCGTAAGGCCAGCCCCTCCTCGCCGCGCAGGTGCGCCGCCGCAGAGGTCTCCGAGGCGGCCTGGCGCGGCTTCGGCGGCGCCGTAGCAGCCACGGCGCACCTGCTGCTGGAGCTCATGCGCTCGGGGGGCTGCCGCGCGCCCTCGGCGGCGGCCCTGCCGACCACGGTGCTTTCGGTAGCAAATCATGGGAGCCTGGTATACGCTCTTACTTCCATCTTTAGTGTCGATCAGCGTCGATCAGCGTCTGGGAGTGGATGGGATAACGCCGATTCAGCGTCGGCTAGCGTCGATTAGCGTCGATTATGCGTCGATTATGCGTCGATTTAGCGTCGATTTAGCGTCGATTCGCAAGAGCCGACAAGATGGTATGGGAGGCTCCCGTGAGTTGCTACCAAAGGTGCTGGCGTGGATCGTCACGACCCTGGTGTGGTGCTACTGGCTGCATAGGCAGGGCCGCCTCCGGCCCGCTTCGATGCGCTGGCGGGGGCCGCGCCTCCGAGCCGAGTGGATCTGGCTCGGTTCGCCGGCCTCGGCCGGGGTCAGCCGGAGCCGGGCGCGGCGATGCGATCTCGCCTCGAGTCGGGGCGATTCGCTGGCGATCTGGTGCGTTTCCGGTCCGATACGATTGTGCGGCTCGATCCGGATCAGGCGTGACATGCGTCCTGGTCCCCAGATCTCGACATTTTAGGAACAGTCTGGGCGGAGGTTTTCTCGCTGTGTTCCCGCGTCCAGGGGCCAGTGCCTGGACACCTGGGCGGCGTCTAGAAAACGGCCCGCGGCGAGACGGCCGGTTCTCGGGAAGTGGTCAAGAGGGTCCTGGGGAGCCCGGGCTGAGAAATCAAGCTTTGGACCCAAGGCGGGGATTTGTCCATGGCCGCCGCCTGGGGGATCGGCCTTTCGGGGAGTTCGGCAGGTGGGAGGAGGAGGAGGAGGAGGAGGAGGAGGAGGAGGAGGAGGAGGAGGAGGAGGAGGAGGAGGAGGAGGAGGAGGAGGAGGAGGAGGAGGAGGAGGCCGGGGATGATGATGATGATGATGATGATGATGATGATGATGATGATGATGATGAGGAGAGGAGGAGGAGGAGGAGAGGAGGAGGAGAGGAGGAGGAGGAGGAGGAGGAGGATGAGGAGGTGGAAGTGGACGAGCCCTGGCAGGGCAGAGTATATCCATATCAACCGCCCGCCGTGGTTCCCAAGGGTCGATCCTCCAGGCAGTGGTCATGGATACATCCCGGCCTCGCATCGGAGGTCGAAGTTTCGCCCTCCACCGCCAGAGTACGCCTCGAATAATAGTTAGACTAGTAAGAACATTCATAATACTAGTAGTACTAATAGTGGTTGCACTACACATACTCACATTGCTGATACTACTAATATTAATATTACTAATAGCAGTAAGAACACGAATGGTATTACACATATTACTATTACTAATCATAGTAATAGTGATTCTAACTCACAGCCATCAAGGCAGTACTCATAATAAGAACAAAGAGCGACGAGTATCAATAGTAGTACTATTGGAAACAGAAACAAAAACACAACACGAACAGAAACTTTCGGATGTCCGCGCGAATTCATTGGGTAAGCACCAGACCCCCTCCCCCAGCACGTGAAGCGCGCCAGGGGCGGCGCCAGAGGCGACACCTGGGGGAGTCAGCACCAGCCCAAGAAATCCGCGCGGACATCCGACAGTGAACAACCGTGCTGCTTTTTGCCCATCAGCCCATATTCGCTGCCTTGGAGTCGTGCCTCAGGATCTCGAGGACCTCTCGAGGACTGGAGGATGCGGATGTTTGTGCGCCCCCGAGGGTGGGACAAGTCGGAGGGATCTATCGAGTGAGATCGATGGCGGGGTCGATCATGACATCACATCGGGGCCCAACACCGTCATCACGCATCGTCGCCAACTCGAGGGCGCGCCACCAGCATCGTCATCATCACGCCCATCGCAGTTGCCAGCAGTTGGTTCTGTTCGTGCAGTATCCATGTCCGCCGTTCCCCATGGATTTGGGGGAGGGCTCCAGCAGCTGCGGGTGCGGATGCCTTCTGGCGGTGCGCACCCCGCCTTCATCCCCTTTCCGGCCCGCAGCGGTGGAGGAGGGGGGGCGCAAGACATGGGGGGAGGGGGGGAGTCGGACGGGGCTAGCACAAGGATAAATCCGTCCCAGAGCGTTCTGGAACGCTCTCAGAGCGTTCTGGAACGCTCTGAGAAGGCCGCGGCGCCCGAGACATCCTCCAGAACCGCCGGATCTCAGAGATTCTCGATTTATTCCTCACCCAATTTTGTCCGTCGCCGTCCTAGGCTATCGTTCTGTAGTGGGGGGGATGGGCGTGAGGGTAAGATTAAAAAAAACGCACTACCCGTCTAGCCGCGGAAGCGCATCGGACCAATCAACAAACAGAGGGGTAAGAAACGGCGAAGAAAAGAGAAAGAATAGAGATAAGAAAAGCGAAGGAGGGAAAAAAGAAAAAGAACAAGACACGGCAAGGAAGACAACAAGCCTTCGAGCCACGAAAAGAAGGAAGAAGGAAGCAGGAAGACGACGAGCAGAAGACGCAGACGCGCGAAGTAGCACCATACAGAAGGAGAAGAATACGCAGAAGAAGCCGCACGGCAGACGACTGTTCCGGACAGCAGCCTTATACCTTCATCCCCCCCCCCCCCCCTCCCCCGGCCCCCCCCCCCCCCCCCTCACCCCTCCCCCCCCCCCCCTTCCCCCACCCCCCCGCCTGCCCCCCCCCCCCCCCCCCCCCCAACCCCCCCCCCCCCCCAGCACCTCCTCCTCCTCCTCGCTCCTCGCCTCCTTCCTCCTCCTCTTTCTTCCTCTCCTCCTCCCCTTTTTTTTCGTCCTCCTTCTCCCCATTCCCCTTCTCCCCCTCTCCTCCTCCACTCCTCCTTCCACCTCTCTCCTCCTCAACCTTCACTCTCCTCCTCCTCTCCTCCTCCTCCTCCTCCTTCTTCTCCCCGCCTCTCCTCCCTCCCTCCTCCTCCTCCTCCTCCTCCTCTCCTCTCCTCTCTCCTTCTCCTCTTTCTCATCCACTCGTCTCCTTCTCCACCTCCTCCTCCTCCTCCTGTTCCTCCTCTCCCCCTCCTCCACCTCCTCCTCCTCCGCCTCCTCCTCCTCCTCCTCCTCCTCCTCCACCTTTCTCCTCCTCTTCCTCCCTCCCCGAGGCCCCTCACGTCCCCGGGCTCTGTGCTGCCTGGCATATCCGAGATGGGTATCGCGCCGCCGGCTCGCGGCATCTACCGCGGCGGCTCGGCCACGGTGGGGCTGCTGCTGGCGCGGCGCTCAGCCGCGCCGCGGCACCCAGGGACTCCACGCCCAGGACGGCCTCAGGAGGACGAGGAGGTAGGAGCGGGAGGAGGAGGAGGAGGAGGAGGAGGAGGAGGAGGAGGAGGAGGAGGAGGAGGAGGAGGAGGAGGAGGAGGAGGAGGACGAGGAGAGGACGAGGAGGAGGAGAAGGAGGAGGAGGAGGACCAGTGGAAGCGCAAGAGTCATCAACGATGTTGGAACCCGCCTTCAATCCGTGAAGCTCCGATGAATTTCATCACGAATGTGCGCGGCGCTGATGCGAGAGCCACATATTGAAAAGGAGCCGCCCTCAACCCGTGAGGCTCTTGCAAATTTCTAGACCGAATGTGCGCGGCGCTAAGGCGAGAGCCACATTTGGAAAGCGACCCGCCCTCAATCCGTGAAGCTCCTGGTAACTTGTATATCGAAGGTGCGTGGCGCTAAGGCGAGAGCCACATTTGGAAACCGACGCACCCTCAATCCGTGAGGCTCTTGCAAATTTATAGATCGAATGGGCGCGGCGCTAAGGCGAGAGCCACATTTGGAAAACGACCCGCCCTCAATCCGTGAAGCTCTTGTGAATTTCACGATTGTGCGCGGCGCTCAGGCGAGAGTCACATATTGAAAAGGAACCGCCCTCAATCCGTGAGGCCCATGCAAATTTCTCAACCGAATATGTGCGGCACTAAGGCGAGAGTCAAATCTGGGAAACGGAAGGAGGAGACGGAGGAGGAGAAGGAGGAGGAGGTGCTTCTCGCCCGGCGTTGTCGCCTGGTCGTTGGCTCTGGGGCCATCACGGCTCGAAAAGAGCCACAGGAAGATGGGGTCCAGGGCTCTGGCTGTGGTTTCCCGACGTGCTGTATTTTTTTCGCAGCCTCTGATCTGAGGGCATGTCCGTGTCCACCGTCTCGGAGTTGTGCCCCAGGACCTCGGGGACCTCTCCGAGGGGTGTTGGATTTGGGTATCATGCCTGCCCTTCTCTGCTGGTGGGAAAGTGCCGATCGGAGGTTGGGGGGGAGACCGAAGTGAAACGGAGTCGCCCCCCCTCCTCCTCCCCCTCCTCCTGCTCCTCCTCCTTCTCCTCCTCCTCCTTATCATCCGCCTCCTCCTCCTCCTCCTCCTGCTCCTGCTCCTCCTCCTCCTCCTTATCATCCGCCTCCTCCTCCTCACCCTCCGCCTTCTTCTCCTCCAACCTCGAAGTCGGCGTCGGTTTCGGGTCGCGGGCGAGGCGAGGCTGCGCGAGGTCCCGCCCTGGCCAGGCCCAGGTCACGTCTCTGAACGAGGCGGGCCCCGCCGCCCAGGACCTGCCTGGGGCTGTTCCGCGGCGGTCCCGTGGTCGTCTCGCGGTTGTCCCGTGGTTGCCCCGCGGGTCGTCCCGTGGTTGTCTGGTGGTTGTCCTGTTGGTTGTCGTTCCGTAGTTGTCCAGTGGTTGTCTCGTGGTCGTCCTGCGGTTGTGCTGTGATAGGTCCCGTGGTAGGCCGACAAGTAGATTATGACAGGGAAGTCGCTTTCGAGTGAGGTCGATACCTCGTGATGTCGACTGAGAAAGAGATGTTGCTAGATGTGGATCATTGGTCGGTATTTGCTTGCACGTCTATATATACGTGTGTGTATACATATATATATATATACAGATGCTTAGATACATGCCCCGTGGTTGTCCTGTGGCTGTACCGTTTTTGTCCCGTGGTTGTCCTGTAGTTGTTCCATGGATGTCTTTTGATGTGTGGCATCGTGTTGCATTGAGCTGCGTTGCATCGCATGGGGTATGTTCCCGACCCAGTGGCAACACAGTGGGCACTGTGCCCCAGTAACACAACACTGAGAAGGGCGACCCAGTAGCACCACAGTGCCGTGTGTGACCTCGGAGTAACAATCCAATCTGGCCACCGCTGTGTTGCTGCTGGGCCAACAAGAAGCAATTTCACAGCAAGGGAGGAACTGCAACGACAGGCAACGAACATCTCACAAGAGCCGGGATGGAGGGGGGCGGGGGATAGGATGAGGCGAGAGGGGAGAAGGAATAACATGATGGAAGAGGAGCAGCGTGAACGCCATTCAGATGTGTGATGTATTGCATCGTATTGCATTGGATTGCATTACATTGTATGGGATATGTTCCCGACCCAGTAGCAACACTGCGGGCACACTGACTCCGTAGCAAGACAGTGAGGAGTGCGACCCGGTAACAACACAGTGACGCGTGCGACCTCGGTCCTCCTCGAAGTGGAATACAGGACGGTGGTACCAGGGAGGCTCTGGGAAATTGAAACAGATTTTTCTGTAAGAAAATGGAGTCCCTGGCGAACTCGGCATTTTCTGGCACGGCGGTTCAACAAAACAGGTCTCGCTAGAGTATTTGTTTCTTCTTGTTTTCTTTTTTTCTTCATTTTCTGAGCCGCCTGCGTCCACCGTCCTATATGCCAGTTCGCCCGCAGGGAGGCCCTGGGACATCAACATACATACAACAGCAATTTAACAATTAATTCGAGTCCCTAGCGAAACCTGTTTTTCATTAGAGCCGTTGGTCCAAAAAGGCACCCCCTGAGGTTGGTACCAGGGTCGGGGGGGCGCCTCCATACGTCTGTCTGTCAGCCTGCCTGCCTGCCTGCCTGCCTGCCTGTCTGTATGTATGTATGTATGTATGTATGTATGTATGTATGTATGTATGTATGCATGCATGCATGCATGCATGCATGTATGTATGTATGTATACATATAGGTTCAACAAAACAGGTCTCGCTAGAGTATTTGTTTCTTCTTGTTTTCTTTTTTTCTTCATTTTCTGAGCCGCCTGCGTCCACCGTCCTATATGCCAGTTCGCCCGCAGGGAGGCCCTGGGACATCAACATACATACAACAGCAATTTAACAATTAATTCGAGTCCCTAGCGAAACCTGTTTTTCATTAGAGCCGTTGGTCCAAAAAGGCACCCCCTGAGGTTGGTACCAGGGTCGGGGGGGCGCCTCCATACGTCTGTCTGTCAGCCTGCCTGCCTGCCTGCCTGCCTGCCTGTCTGTATGTATGTATGTATGTATGTATGTATGTATGTATGTATGTATGTATGCATGCATGCATGCATGCATGCATGTATGTATGTATGTATACATATAACGCCGCACCGGGCCCGGGGGCCCCGGGGCCGCAGCCTCGAGCACAAATGGGGGGACGTCGGGCCCAGCCCGCTCCCCGGGGCCGCAGCCCCGACCACAACACAACACAGCCCCCTCGCCCCAGGAGACCCCCAAGAGGCCCCTGAGAGACCTCCAAGAGGCCCAAAGAGGCCCCCAAGGCGCCTGCGGCAGGCCCCCAAGGGCCTCCAGAGGCCCCCCAAAAGGCTTCCAAGAGGCCCCCCGAGGTTCCCAGGAAGCCCCCAGGAGACCCCCAAGAGGGCCCCAACGGGCTCCTGAGAGGCTTACCCAGAAACCTTCATGTACGTCTACAAGACGCCCGCGGCAGGCCCCCAAGGGCCTCCAGAGGCCCCCCAAGAGGCTTCCAAGAGGCCCCCCGAGGTTCCCAGGAAGCCCCCAGGAGACCCCCAAAAGGGCCCCAACGGGCTCCTGAGAGGCTTACCCAGAAACCTTCATGTACGTCTACAAGACGCCCGCGGCAGGCCCCCAAGGGCCTCCAGAGGCCCCCCAAGAGGCTTCCAAGAGGCCCCCCGAGGTTCCCAGGAAGCCCCCAGGAGACCCCCAAAAGGGCCCCAACGGGCTCCTTTCAACGACAGGCAACGAAAGCCGCTCAAGAGCCGAGGAAGAGGCGGAGTGTGTAGTAGGAGGCGCGAGGGGGAGCAGGAAGAAGAGGACCCTGGACCCAGGGGGCTGAGGGACAGGAAACACGAACTAAAACATACATCGGGCCCCTAGCGAAAACTGTTGTTTTGAACCGCTATTCTAGAGAATGGCGATTTCGCCAGGGACTCCATGCATTTTGCCGCATTGAAATATCCCAGGGCCCCCCTGCGGGCGAAGTGGAATACAGGACGGTGGTACCAGGGAGGCTCTGGGAAATTGAAACAGATTTTTCTGTAAGAAAATGGAGTCCCTGGCGAACTCGGCATTTTCTGGCACGGCGGTTCAACAAAACAGGTCTCGCTAGAGTATTTGTTTCTTCTTGTTTTCTTTTTTTCTTCATTTTCTGAGCCGCCTGCGTCCACCGTCCTATATGCCAGTTCGCCCGCAGGGAGGCCCTGGGACATCAACATACATACAACAGCAATTTAACAATTAATTCGAGTCCCTAGCGAAACCTGTTTTTCATTAGAGCCGTTGGTCCAAAAAGGCACCCCCTGAGGTTGGTACCAGGGTCGGGGGGGCGCCTCCATACGTCTGTCTGTCAGCCTGCCTGCCTGCCTGCCTGCCTGCCTGTCTGTATGTATGTATGTATGTATGTATGTATGTATGTATGTATGTATGTATGCATGCATGCATGCATGCATGCATGTATGTATGTATGTATACATATAACGCCGCACCGGGCCCGGGGGCCCCGGGGCCGCAGCCTCGAGCACAAATGGGGGGACGTCGGGCCCAGCCCGCTCCCCGGGGCCGCAGCCCCGACCACAAATGGGGGGACGTCGGGCCCAGCCCGCTCCCCGCCGGGCCCCAGGTCGGCCCCCGGAGCGCCCAGACGGCCGTCCAGGCGGCCCCAGGCCGCCCAGCGCCACCCTGAAGACAACCTCCAGCGGTTTCCGGCGGCTCAAGAGGCGTCTCGAACCGCCCCAGACGCCTCCAACACGCTCGAAGACCCCTCGAAGAGATCCCCCCAGATGGCCCCGGGAAGCAAAAATACCCCCGTTCCCTTTATAAAACGCACATTTTTACTAGAATCTATTTTTTGGCCTTCGCACCGTCCTCTACGACCTCCGACTCTCCCTGGACCGCCCCAAGACGGCCCACGAAGCCCACAAGAGAGCCCCAAGACGGCCCCAGAGGGGCCCAGGACAGTCCAAGAGGCGCCCAGGACGGCCCAAACGCGTCCCCGAAGTG